CAAGTCTTTCACTGTAAAGAATGTTAGTGCTAGAGTGCTAGCTCAAGTATAATTAATTGGAATATTCAAATATGCATAGTTTTGATGAATATAGATTAATGAATTTAAAAAAGTTATTTACTTTTTTATAACTTTAAATACATTTAAAATTTAAAGCTCTTATTCATTAGTCTATAAAGAAAAATAGAAAAGAATTAGTAAAACAATCCAATAGATACAATTTTAACATGGTGTATAATAATATTAAATCAGATGAAAAAAATTTAATTAGCAAGTTCGTTTTCATTCATATAGAATCAGTTGGCCCCTGAACTTGTTTGTCATCATATTTCATATACATTCGCAAAGTAAATAAATTATTTATTTTTACCTGCCTTACAAACTCGCCAAAATTAATTTATGAGCACCTTTTACGACTTAGCAATCTATTGGTAACATCTATCCATTTATTAATAGCTAAAATTAAATATCTTGAATAATTGATTGTTAGAGTTTGTTGTAAATTCTACATTGAGCCAACTTTTCTTGGTTATAATGAAGCTAAGTTTACTTCTACAAGAACAAACTAATGCAGTAAAATGCACGGAAGTTTAAAGTCATGTTTGGTCACGTGTAGTGTAATAGTAGATCAAGTAACACTAACTTTTTTTTACTACATATAAACGATATTGATGTGTAATACAACTAAATGAATACATAAGTGAAGATGCATCCGACGAGGTCACAAAGCAGAAAACAAAATGACTCCCCAAAAAACGATTTTTACAAAAATTATGTTTATTTAATTTTTTTCTGTTTTTGGATCTTATTACTTCATCTTGGAGGACTATATCTTTTCACGAGAGGATTTCTGCTTACTAGATTTGTTTTAGATAATCATAGTGAATGTTCAAAATCACCATTATGGAATGATTATATATTCAATGATAATAGTGATAATAACGTATATAGTGTAAAGTATAATTATCCATGGCAAAATACTGTAGCAGCACAATTTAGACAAAAAGATCAAAAACAATCGAATTTAGTTTCTAATGGTTGTTGGTACCCAAAGACTTTTAAAAAAGCTGTGATCATAATTATTGATGCGCTTAGATTTGATTTTGCAATTCCTTATCTAAATAAACCAATTGAGAATCCTGTAAACCATTATTATTTAAATAAACTTCCCATATTTAATCAACTTCTTACAACTCAACCATCAAATTCTTTATTATTTCAATATGTTGCTGATCCACCTACAACCACTTTACAACGTCTAAAAGCTCTTACAACTGGAACTTTACCAACTTTTATTGATGCTGGTAGTAATTTTGCTGGTTATGCTATCGATGAAGACAATTTAATTTATCAATTTAGAAATCTAGATATGAAAATTGCCTTTATGGGAGACGATACTTGGATTTCTCTATTTCCTGATCAATTCGATCAAAACATGACTCATCCTTTTCCCTCTTTCAATGTTTGGGATCTACATACTGTTGATAATGGAATATTAAATTTATTGGGTCCAACATTGAAACTGGGAAGTGTTCATGATTCTTCTCAATGGGATGTATTAATTGCTCATTTCTTGGGCGTTGATCATTGTGGACATCGTTATGGACCTGATCATCAGGCTATGGCTGAAAAATTAGGTCAAATGGATGACATGATACGAAATGTTATTAGGGATATTGATAATAATACTGTTGTGCTTGTTTTGGGTGATCACGGTATGGATTCTAAAGGTGATCATGGTGGTGATAGTGATGATGAAGTTGAATCTACACTTTTCATGTATAGTAAGAAACGGTTAACACATGACGCGACAAATGTTCTTTCCAGGATTTATCAAAAATTAGATGCGATCGAATCTCATGGTTCAAAGTCGTTTACCAAAAAGTTTGGAACTTGGAGATCTATTCCTCAAATTGATCTTGTTCCAACTTTGGCTCTCCTTCTGGGAATTCCAATACCATTCAACAATTTGGGTATGATAATCCCTGAAGTGTTTCTTTTTAATTCTGAAGATTACGATCTAAATATAAACGATCAATTAATGAATCTCTTGGACGTTACGCGTCTTAATGCCGAACAGGTATATCGATATACCATAGAGTATTCGCTTCAACAACCATCTACTGAATTATCAAATGATGCTATTCATGTTCTTCGAAATATGTTTGAAAATGCTGAAGCAAAATATAATTTATTGAAGAATTCTCCTGATTCATCACTACATGATGATTTGGAAGATGCAATCGTACTTTACATGAGTTTCCTAAAAAATACTTTGTTTATATGTCGACGATTGTGGGCTCAATTCGATTTATATCTGATAATAACAGGAATTAGTATCTTAACTTTAAGTTGTGTATGTATTGGTTTACATATTACACGAAACACAAAGAGTTCTATCGTTATCTACAATCAAACAGCCGTTATGTACGCGTTTATTGGTGGAAGCTTGGGCATTGTATTCACTTTAGGATTCATCAGATTTGTAGGACCGTTAATAACAGATTCTAGTCCCCAAACTTCTAATCTTACAATATTTGGTGTCTCATTTGGGTCAATGATAGGTTTCATAATTCATTACATAAGATCTA